GGGCTTTAAACTTTGCCCCACATGATAGGAAGGGACATGTTGCGTTACAACAGGCTGATGATTTTTCAGTTCCAGCCACGCCAAAGAGATGCTAACATTTCCAAAGCAGTAGCATCACTGGTTATAAGAGAGGAATGTCATAGCCACTTTTTTAGTGAGCTAAGTTTACCAAATCCTTTTGAGACGCGTGAATCTGAATGATGCTCAAGGAGAGTTTGGGGTGCTAACGAATGGGATGAGTTGCTAAATTCACATCCTATTCTGAGACCAACACTGGGCAACTCAAGAGATAGTAAGTGCTTGATCGTCAGCTACGTAACTGTAAGGCAACTAGCAACACAGGATGAAGGAATCCTTTAGACCTAGTTTAAGTAGGTAAATTATTATATTCTATCTTATTCTGATTTATTTGATGGGTGATTTCAGGTAATTGCCAATCACATAGGTGGTCTGATCCTTCAGGGAGGTGACCCTTAACACTGGCATACTCTTGACACTCAGAGCCAACACATCAGTGTTTTTAACCCAGTGGAGAGTCAGGGCAACAGTATTTACCTCCACTTAGCTATACGGACTGTTTTTGTGAACTAGCAGTACACATCAGTGCACAAAATGTATCTTCCAGAGATTGCCACTAGCTGGTAAAGCTCCATGATGTGGTACAGAGCATCAGAGAGCTCACTCAAGCCTTCTGGGAAACATGTAGCAGCCAGGAGAGAAGGATCTACAGGTATTTTGTCCCTTGTTTTTCTTTCCTCAGTTTATCACTGCTTCATAAAAAGTATAAAAAGAAAAGCAGAGGTGCTAAGGACATTTAACAACTGCATTTTATTCTGCTCTAACACATACTGCAAACTCATTGAAAACGTAAAGCAGACTCCTTGCATTGACATGAAGTAAGGCATTGATTGGATTTCCTCATCTCTAAAAAGGTAAATTATTTAAAAAAAAAAAAGTTTCATCAAACAAGTAATTCTTATGAAGCACAAGTTTTACAACTGGTGATGTGCTGAAAAGACTGATACGCTAACATACCATGCTCAGGAAACATCTGCTGATGTTTCAAAACAGTCAAAACGAGAAACTACTTATATATCGGTGATGTTTATACAATGCTAAACTCCTTCAACTCAGCTCAACAGAGTTCAAACATGCCAACAAATACTTTGGCTTTTCTACTTCACAAAACACAAATTAGTATCTTTTAATTTCCTTACTCTGGGATGATGACACTTGCATTATGACAATTTGCAGACTTGAGACCTTCCCTAACATTTCTTTTGAAGGAGCGAGAGTTAAATTTGAAACATACAAATTGTTGAAGTGCTTCAAGTCAGTGGTCTATGCTGGCTGCTGAACAAGGTGTAAACATTTGCATCTGTTTACTCTCACTTCATATTTGCATGTTTTTCCTCATAATACCTCTATTTTTACTTGAAAGAAAAAGGAAAGATTGCAGTAAAGGCTTTTTATGGCCAAGAGAAGAGCAACCTTCATTATTCAGCATTTGAATCCAGCCAGCGACAAATTCAGGGAACGAGGACCAACTAACCAGTTTGGTGTCAAAACAACTGTGAGTACCAAATCAGTCTGGAAAGCACGACACAGTCGAAAGAAAATAGTGGAAGTACAGAGACCTAACTTGACAGGAGTGTAGTATACAGGAGTTGCTAAGAGGAGCAGTTATGTTCAGAAGCCAAAAAAGCAGAGAAAATCGTGGCGAAAATGGAGAACAGGAATGCAGGCAGGCACAGGCGAGTAACAGACCTGAGAAGAAGCTGGGAGGAGTGCTGTGACACACAGTAACATGGAGAATTATAACAGCAAGCTGCTAGTCAGAGCTAGCCTAAAACAGGCTTGACATTGTGCAAGAATGGCAAAAATTTCAGTAGTTGCCCTGCTTGGAAGAAAATGTAGGGTTAATGACGGCTACATCCTTTAGTCCAGCTAATGATTTTCCTCACACCCTATTGCACATGCCGTTACAATGCCAATAGGCTAAAGTGAGCTCTTATGGGTAACACAAAGCCCAATCTATCAATTCAATTATGATGTGTCTTAGCACTTGTAATGAATAACCTTTGACTAATATCACAAGATATTGTCCTCGGTGTCTTAGGTGAAGGAATAATACAGGAAGTAGCAAGTGGAAATTATTTTTTAATTTCTGAAGAGGGTATTAATAGCAAAAAGTTGCTCACAATTTTGACATGAGGAAGAAGAAAATACAGCTATTGGTGTAAGACTGGAATGAGCATTAAGAATAGTCAAACACTCCTGAAATAGCAGTGATGACTAGGAATGTTGAGGAAAAGACAAAAGAACAAAGGAGGTGGGATATGGCAGGCGGGTTGGAACTTGATGATCTTCAAGGTCCCTTCCAACCTAAACCACTCTATGATTCTGTATCACTAACATCTAAAGACTATTTCTGAAGGAAACAACTGAAGTGTTCCAAGTAGTCTTAAAACACATCTGTGTACAAAACAAGAAACTGCATTAATACATTTAATGAGATCATCCAGACTGCGAATACTGTATCGACAGTGTTATACATGAATTGTTTGCAAAACAGCTTGCTGGTTCTGCTTACAGAAGAATGGCCTGTTTGGCAAAAACTATGTCTTTTTCTCCTGATTACATCAAGTAGTCCAAAAAAAAAAAAAAACCAACAAAACCCTCCTCTACAAATCTTACAAGTTTTGTACACAACTTTCGTACAGATTTAAACATCTGTGCCCAAAAAAGTTTCTTGTATGTCAGTGAAACAAGCATGCACTCAGTAAAATGAAGTATCTCCTTCACAAGCAGAAACCATTTTACAACTGCTCTGTGGCTGAGAGGCAGTGAAGCATGAAGACTAGAGCACAATTACTATTTCTCGCATTCAAGAAGTAGGATGGGCATACAACATTAGAAGATAGCAGGTCTGGAGAATAAAAACAGAAATACATTATTTCCCTAAGTATTTAATTAAATTGTAGGTCCCATTACTACAGGATGTTGTGAAGGATAAACAGGTTCTAAAAGAGATTAGAGGAACTCGCAGAGAACAAACAGGTCTGTCACAGAATATTAAACATAACTGTTCGAATACAGCTGGGTCATGAAGTATCTAAATAGCTGTCTGCTGAAAGCTGGTATGATGTGATTGAGAAAGGTCCACTTTATACATGACGTGTTTGCTAGACCCTTTGCATCTATTCCTTGCTCCAGCTGCAGGACACTTGGCTTGACAGACCCTTGCTCTGATCCAAAAGGAAAGTCCTTTATCCACTGTTCCTTCTACTAAGGCAGGTCCACAACTACCGACTTACTCATCTTTAATTTTCTAATGTCTTGGTTCAAAAAATGATTCTTTAAGATCTTCTAAATTACTTACAGTAAAATGTATAAGCTCAGAGCTTTATTATATATTACATTGAAGTTTAAGGCATTTGGACTACTTCAGGTACATTCAAGAAATTGGGAGTAATGGGTTCTTGGGAAACGTATCACCAGAAGCTAATAATTCTATGGTACAAAGGATTTTCTTAAATCACAGGAGTAAACTTCATTAAAAAAACCTCAGGTGTACATCATTCCCATGGACTACATATTTTCAGTCCTAACTGTCTAGAATGCCAGTCTGTAAACTTCCATAATATTTCTCTGTTCTCTTCAAGCTTTAACATGAGTCAAAGTTATGGATAAAGAACAGCTAGAGCAACATAGGGACGCTGTAAAAGCTGACTTCCCATCACCTCTGCACTCCTTTGATAACCCTGACAACTTTTCTTGCAAATTTGAGCAGCCAAAAGGATGCTGATCTCATGATACATGTGGAATTGTCGCATGTTTTAGGCAGTGTTCCATACTCTACACTGCATGTACATGTTTGCAGATAATTTGTTCCAGCATACATGACTAAAGAGTTCCATAACATGATGGCATTTAAAAAAAAAATAAAAATCACATATATAGAGCAACAAAACCACACTATCATTTCAGTCTTATGCCAAATGCAATGAACTCATATTTCAACTTTTCTCATCAAAATTGCATAGATTTGTATTAGTTACTCTGTCAGTCTGTGTCTGTTGCTGGAGCACGTGAAATACAGCAAAGGCTTTGTTCAGGAGATTCTTCTGCTGTGAGGCAGTGCTCTCAAACAGCAAAGTTTAAGATAATCTCATTCATGAGTTCCCAAATTCTGCCCAAACATTATTTGAAACCTAAATGTCAATTCGTAAAAATAACATCTGATTCAATTAAAAATTCCCCACAACCTAAAGCTTTTATTCTGGTAATATTTATCTCCTCAAGAAAAGAATCCTAGTTTTCATAAGAAATGAAGCCCCCAAAATTAAGAGCAAGAAACCTGTTTAAAAAAAATGGGTGGTTTTTTTTTCGTTTAGTTTTGGGTTTTTTTTTTCCAAGGTCCATCATTTGTAGCGCAGCTAGAAATCTCTGCTTTCCGGAAAAAGTGTCTGAGGCAAAGTAGTGAACACAGCTTGCCAAAGCGAGAAGTAATTTTTACAAACTTTATAAGAAATTGCTCTGCTTGCAGAGGAATGCAATTTTCATATTCATTTGCTTTAAACTAATGTTAATAAATTGTGTATAATTCAGACTTTTTTTTTTGCATCAACAGTAATTGTTTATTAAGCACAAAACAGGGTTTGGTTTCCTGCACAGACATTACATTCCAACTTTTTTTTGCAAGTCATTTCTTCATTCTGATTTACATTTTTGGTAACAGAAGCATAAGATAACTAGCTACATGACCTATAGCTGTCCAACTCTCTGTTCACTGACAGCAAAAACTAACACAACTTAAATATTTAAGCAGTACATATCAATTTTTGCTGCAACCAAAGTGTATAAAAATACTCAGTTATGCAGGTTCCAAAATACTTTGCCACACACAGATGTATAAAATACAGTATCAGAAGTCCCAGTATAATTCTTGGAATCCAGTATTTTTGGTAATAAATTGTACTATTATTCTGAGAGAAATTTTACAGCAAAGCACTTTTCATGTATGTTAATACACACAGACTCTGATTGAAGAGAGTCTGCAAGTGAATCCAAGTTTCCTTGAGTTGTGTTGATAATCTGGATACTTCTTCCAATAGGTTTGGCTCTGATGAGAGAATCTTAAGATGTAACTGAAAATGAAAACAAGTAATTAGTGAAACAAATACAGATAATAAAAAAATTAAAAGATCAATTTCCACATTAAATTCCAGTACTTTGCTTTCAGGAATGTCCCAAATAAG